AAGGTCTGAAACTTCTCTCACAAGCAGACCTGCATTTTCTCCAGTGGGGTGTGTGTTTGGGAGAGGATGCTCTCCCTTTCCCAATTCCACAGTTTGGGTACTTACAGTATTAGGGTGCCTTCTGAGTCCTGCAGAAGCAGTCTGCTTCCTTCAGAAGGTTTGTGGGTCCTCTTGGGGTTGCTGGTTTGTTCTTGCAGTCAATCTGGAGCTAAAATTCACGATGCAAACCTCTGTACACTGCTGTGTCCAGAGCTGCAATCTCGTCCTGCCTCCCATCCTCACAATCCTGTGTGTGCCACATTATTTTATTTAAAGGTCAAGGTGAATTTTTTGTGTGTGGTTGGAAACTTGGTAATTATGCATATAATTTCCTTCCAGTCTGAACTTACAATTCAGAAGAGAACAATGAGATGTCCTATAATATTTCAAATATTTAGCAACCACCTATTTTGAATGAGATATTCTTTTCTTTTCCTTTTTTTTAATTTTCTTTTTGAATAAGATATTCTACTATATGTAGCGAAAGACTTGGTCTCTGCTCTTGATGTTCTCACAAGATGGAGGTAGAAATAAACTGCCAGGAACAGAAGGGTCTGAGCTGTTAACCTACTTTCAAGCTAACAAACTAGTCTGTTACTGTTTACTGTTACTTTTCTGGCAAAAAGACATAAGATTCCTGGTTCAGAGACAAGGGACCTTATTACTCATGGCAAAAGCAGTATCCAGAGCTCTAGGTTACTGTGTGTCAGTTCCCCATGTGCTGGGGTCTCGGGGTGATGCTAAGGGCCCACCATGGATGCCTGCACATGTGTGGTGAGCTGCGTTACCGGGAAGGAACACTGAGACCGGGGAATCTCTGTGTTTGTAGCAAACCTACACTTTGTCTAGGGGAGACATTCCCTCTTTACTCAAGATTTCTTGGTGCAAACACAGCCCTGGGAAATGAATTGGGTAAAGAAAAGTCAAGGCCTTACATTCTTGGCATATCCAGCAGGAACTTGAGGGTGTGCTCAGGGCCCATGGCAGATGGCCTTTCCCAACATAGATCTGCAAGGAACATCAGCTCCATGACCAATGTCTACCATCACAAGGCAATAAAGAATAAATGGTGCAGGCATTTAAGAGAATAATTCATATAAAGCCCAACCCCCATCCCTTGTAATCATTAGCACATGTAGGGCTATTGCTGGATATCTCCTCATCACTTCTGTTTCATGCTGTGGAACTCTCCTTATCATTATACCTTCTATAATTTTATCTTAGCTGATAACGGCCTCCCATGGGACCTCTTTCTTTATGCAAAGAGAGAAGACAACATAGGAAAAAAAAAAAAGCTAGTGAATGAACTAGCAGAAATAAATGTTAGACAGCTTGTCCTCATTTTGTCCAGCAAGCAAAGGTAACAATATTCTGAATTTTTTTTTTTTTTTTTTTGAGATGGAGTCATTCTATCGCCCAGACTGGAGTACAGTGACGTGATCTCAGCTCACTACAACCTCCACCTTCCAGGTTCAAGTGATTCTCCTGCCTCAGCCTCCTGAGTAGCTGGGATTATGGATGCCTGCCACCATGCCTGGCTAATTTTTGTATTTTTAGTAGAGACAGGGTTTCACCATGTTGGCCAGGCTGGTCTTGAACTCCTGACTTCAGGCGATCTGCCAGCCTCAGCCTCCCAAAGTGCTGGGATTACAGGTGTGAGCCACCACAGACTGGCTCAATGTCCTAAACTCTTAATGTTCTTAACAAGTAGGCATATGTAAGTTGTCATGGCTGTCACCTTTCTCTGTTAATTGTATTATTAATATCCATAATTTACTTGAAATGGAGAGATTTAAAAAATAATTTATTATTTGTAGCTTTGCCTAAGTATCTAAAACTGTTTTTTTCTCTTGTGTTTGTTCTATACATGGTTTATTATATACATAACTTCCTTCACTTTATTAGCATTAATATCATCAAAATGCTAATAACATCAGAATGTCCAGCAGCAAAACTTAATATCAGCAATGAAAGACCTGCCTTCTCACTTGATCTGCTTCTGTCTCGGGATCAGGAAAGCTGTATCCCAACACATTTGGGTGGGCTGGTGTCTTCCTTACTGTCCATTTAATGATCTTTTTTTTTTTTGAGAATTGCACTCTGGTCCAGGCTAGAGTGCAGGGGCGCGATCTTGGCTCACTGCAACCTCCAACCCTCGGGTTCAAGCGATTCTCCTGCCTCAGCCCACAAGTAGCGGGGGTTACAGGTGCCTGCCACTGCACTGGGCTCATTTTTGTATTTTTAGTAGAGATGGGGTTTCACCATCTGGGCCAGGCTGGTCTTGAACTGCTGACCTCATGATCCACCTGCCTGAGCCTCCCAAAGTACTAGGATTACATGTGTGAGTCACCATGCCCAGCCATAAAGGTATTCTATAGAATGTGGATTTCAGTGTTCGTAAAGGACTCTGATAAAGCTGTCAAAAAGCAGAGATAGTCTGGCCAACATGGTGAAACTATTGCTCTCCAAAAAAGAAATTCAAAAATTAGATGAGAGTGGTGGTGTGTGCCTGTAGTTTGGCTACTTGGGAGGCTGAGGCGTAGCCTGGGGGACAGAGTGAGACTCCCTCTTAAAAAAAAAGCAGAGATACAGGCATTATTTAAGCTAGAAAAGAATTCTGAAGAAACACAAACATGATACCAGGTGGTATGCGATTACTTAGAAAAACACCAAGCATTTAAACAGCTAGAGGGGAAAAGTCTTTCTGATATGTGTTTCAGATGAATACGTTTTATGAGACAAAGAGGGGCTGCCTCATGATGCATGTGCAAACAAAGGTCAGAGTTGTTTCTGTCTGTGAGTAGTTTCATTTGGTAGCATATGTAAAATTAATATTGTTTTTAGAAGGGTATTCATTCAAATGACAGTGGACTATGTGGTCAATAAAAATGAAATTTCTAGATTGAGGACAAAGTAAAGGTATTGTTTATATTTTAGCAATGGTACGTTACGAGATGTGGCTATTGACTGGGTGTGGTGGGTCACGTCTGTAATCTCAGCATTTTGGGAGGCTGAGGCAGGTGGCTCACCTGAGGTCAGAAGTTTGAAATCAGCCTGACCAACACAGTGAAACCCCGTCTCTACTAAAAATACAAAGATTAGCAGGATGTGGTGGCAGGCACCTGTAATCCCAGCTACTCAGGAGGCTGAGGCAGAAGAATCACTTGAACTTGGGAGATGGAGATTGCAGTGAGCCAAGATCATGCCACTGCACTCCAGCCTGGGCGACTGAGTGAGACTCCCTCTCAAAAAGAAAGAGACCTTGCTATTTTAGGTACAACTTTGAATTGACCTCCTGATATATATAAAATATATACTTAAGAAGCTCCCCTGCCTTCTTTTCACTAAGCAAGGACACAGTGAGACATCAGCCATCTGCAACCAGAAAGCAGGCCCTTAACAGAATCCAGCAGGCTGGCACCCTGATCTCAGACTTCTAGACTTCAGAACTGTGAGAAATGACTGTTTGTTGTTAGAGCCACTTGGTCTATGGCATTTTTGTAATAGCAGCCTCAGCTGACTAAGACTCTGTATGAAACATAAAAAGACAAACTACATTCTGGGAGAAAATATTTCCAAACCACCTATCTGACAAAGGACTAGTACCTAGAATACATAAAAAACTCTCATAACTAACCAAAAAAAAAAAAAAAAAAAAAGCAAACATTACAAATAGAAAATGGGCAAAAGACATGAACAGACATTTGACCAGAGAGGATCTCCAGATGGCAAATAAGCACATGAAAAGATTTTCGACATCATTAGCATCAGGGAAATATAAATTAAAATCTTTTATAAAGTGGTATCATTATGCACTTGTGAGAATAGCTAAAATGCAAACAGTGACAGCACATGTTGGCAATCATACAGAGAAACCCGATCACTCATACACTGCTAGTGGGAATTAAAAATGGTTCAAACACTCTGGAAGGCATTTTTGCAGTTTTTAAAATAAAACTAAATATGCAATTACTGTAAAAATCAGCATTCGTACTCTTGGATATTTATCTTGGAGAAATAAAAATTTACGTTCACCCAAAAACCTGTACACAGAGGTTCATAGCAGCTTTATTTGTAATAGCCCAGCACTGGAAAACTGCAATACCAAAAACGCAGATATTCTTCAGTTGTTTAGGATTAAACCAATGTGGTACATGCATACTGTGGAATACTACTCAGCAATAAAAAGGAGTGAACTACCAATACATGCAACAACTTGGATGAGTCTAAAGGGAATTATGCTGAGTGGAAAAAGCCAGTTCTGAAAGGTTACATGCTGTGCAGTCCATGTATGCAACATTCTTGAAATGACAAAATTATTAAAAATGGAGAACAGACTAGTGATTGACGGGGGATCAGAACTGGGGGTTGAGTAGGGAGCAGGGAAAGAGGTGAGTGTGTCTATGAAAGGTCAGCCCTGGGGGAACCCATGTGGTGATGGGACTTTTCTTTATCCTGACTGTACCAGTGTCAGTATCCTGGTTGTGACACCAAACTACAGATTTGCCAGATGTTACCACTGAGAGAAAACCCGTAAAGGGTGCCCAGGATCTCTCTGTAGGATTTCTTACAATTGCATGTCAATATACAATTATCTCAAGATAAAAACTTTCACTTGAGTTACAGGTTGGGATTGATAAAAATTGCCCACCTCCTTAAATGTTGGCCATCTTACTTAGGATTTTCTTAGACATGTTACTGCCTACCTAATAATTATCAAAATTGTAAAACACATCGTTGAATATTATGAACAATTTGATCAGCATTGTAAAGGAACAAACGAATGTGTTTCTATGAAAGGCCAATTTTGATTATGAGAAAACACAGACACACAAAACAAAACCTCTGTGAAGTAGGTGGCAGTCGGCCTGGCTCATTCTAGATCCCAGCAGGAGGGCTAAGGATTCTGCCATCTGGGATTTCGGGATGAGGCTGACATTCTCCTGCACCTTTCCTCACAGGATCTCCTCTTCAGTGTGTGCGCCCTCAACGTCCTGTCCACCATTGTGTGTGCGCTGGCCACAGCCATGTGCTGTATGCAGATGGTCTCCTCCGACGTCCTGCAGATGGTGAGTGGCCTGATCCCCTCCTCCTCTACCCAGTTTGAAACCAGTGTAGGAGTGGATGCTTCTGGCTTCAGCCCAATGCAGTGAGGTTGATGGCCCCTGACAGTCCATGGCACCTGGAGATCACCTTGTGTTGCCCTCTAGAAAACCAAGCATCTGCACGTGTGGTGCCGCTGATGTACGTATTTTAGGTGGTGTTGGAGCTCCATATTGACAGAGTTCTGCCGCTGTCATGTTCTCTAGGATGGCCCGTGGTGCGTGCCCTTGAGTAATGTTGTGAAATTCCTGCAGCCCTGGACATCCCCTGGACCCAGCACCTCCAAAGCAAGGTGCCTTCCTCTGGCTTCAGAATTCTCTTTTAATCCAGGAAGTTTAGGGTTGTTAGAAGATCAGTTCTTTTCTCACTGGAAAATTGCCAACCTGTGCATTTTTAATTTGCTAATGAACCCTGAGCTCATACTCCAGCGGCCAGTCACTGGCCATCATTTGGCCCTCTGCCCAGGGACATACACAGGAAGACCTGCTGCTCCCAGGGGTGGCAAGGAGGCCGGGAGCATGGTTCACTAACACATGTTATAATATGTGGGTTATTGAAGGCTCTTCCTGTTTCAATGTGAATGGAACACAGCCTACTGATCAGAATGCTACTGAGTATAATAAAGAGAAATTCATGAGAGGATACTATTCTTCCATGGTAAGGGTAGGAATATCTAGGGGTGTGTGTGTGTGTGTGTGTGTGTGTGTGTGTGTGTGTGTGTCTCTGTCTTTCTGCCTCTGGCTGTGTCTCTCAGTTTGCCCCTTTGAAACCTACCCTGCTTCCCATGCAATGTTTTATGCATCTTATGCAAGAAAAGGCAGCTTGTTCTTATAGAGGGTTTTTTATGTGCTCTTCATTATCATTCACCCTGTGGCAGTCAACATCAGTTCATCAAGATATAGGGCCAGAGAGCATCATTACCAAGATGTTAAAGATTCATTGGTCCTAATTGCATGCCACGGGAGTCTCTCCCTCCTGGTGTACATCCACACAGCTGTCATAGCCAGGCTGCCCTTTCTGGGAGGCTACAGTTTTCTGAAAGGCATCTAATTAAGCAGTTCTTCGGTAGCCATGAACTTCTGCCCTTGTTCATCAGGGCCTCATGTTGGCAATTTTCTCCAGCATGTTCTGTAAAGGAAAGGTTAAATACCTGGGGCTTCTCCTCACCTCAGCACATTTTACTATTGATCTGTAAATATCACATCAGTTTCACCAAACTTACAGAACTAAAGGCATGTAAAGTCTAAAAGTTTGCATTCTCCTGGTTTTATGCATTAAAATGAAAATTACCAGCTAAATAAGAATAAAGTAAATTCTCAGTATGAGAGTGTACACAGTGATCACAGCAACGTGCAGAATCACTCTGTAGTTGTGATGAGTGGGGCATGAGCAGGCCTGGAGCTGTGAGTCCGAAGCCAGGCATGCCAGGGTCTGAGTCCCACCTCTTCTGCATACAAGGCAGGTGATTCTGGGCGTCTCACTGAACCTACCTGTGCCTCGGTTTCCTTACCTGTGAAATGGAACACATGGGATGCCTGGGGATCCCTAATACCTGTGATCTGTTTTGATTTGAAATGTGCAGGGACTATCAGTCTGTCACTGGGATGTCTCAGCAATGCCTGCAGACACAGTAGCTGAGGCTCTTTACCAGCAGAAAATACCATGCACAGGAATGGCAGGCTGCGGTGACAGTGGCTGCCGTCAGAAGCCCTGGTTTCACCGCCAAGTACTCTGTGGGTGAGTTTGCCTCACACCCCTGGCTTGGAAGCAGAAATAGCGGACTTCCTGCCATCACGTCGTTTGCACTGGGTGACGGTGTGGTGGGAGCCCAAGGCTCTGCTCCCCTGATGAGACCCTGATTCTGCTGCCGGGCCTTCAGAGTCATGGGGGAGGCAAAAGGGAGCTGCTGCTGGGTGGCCATGGCACCCCGTGGGACCAGCATGATCTTGGACATGTCACCGCCTGTGGGTCCCCGTTTCCTCAGCTCCAAAGAAGATGAAGTGTGTACGCTGCTGTACACACTTGCTCCTGATGGGATGAGTCCACTTATCTGTGGGAATGGGTTTTGAAGAAACATGGTGGCCACATGGAGGTCAGCTCTTGCCATGTGGGTTGGAGGCCTGAGCTAGGCTGGCTGTGCAAACCGTGCTTTTAGAGGAGTGGGAAAGCCCAGCAGCATCATGGTCACTCCCTGAGTGATGGAACCCAGAAAGGAAGACGCCTCTGAAGCTCTTTTTAACTTTCTTTATTTCATTATCTACTTTAATAAAAGAAGTAAAATATGATCACTGAAACAAGTAAAATAATGCAGCAGAATGTAAAGAAAAAGTTAATAGTCTCTCTTCTCCCACCCCAATCACCACTAACACTTTGAAGTGAATCTTTCCCTCCCTCCCTCCCTCCCTCCCTTCCTTCCTTCCCCCTCTCTTCCCTTCCCTTCCGTTTCCCTCCCTCCCTCCCTTCCTTCCTTCCTTCCTTCCCTCCCTCCCTCCCTCCCTCCCTCCTTTTTTCTTTTCTTTCCTTTCCTTTTCTTTTCTTTATTTTGTAGAGAGAGTCTTGCTGTGTTGCCCAGGCTGCTGTTGAACTCTGGCCTCAAGTGATCCTCCTGCCTCACCCCCACAACCTTCCATTCCTCTCTTGATTTCTTAATGCTTCAATAAACGTATATAAATAGTCTGTCTTCCATTTTTCTCCCTCTCCCTCTTTCTCTCCTTCCTTCCCTTCCTCCTTCCCTTTCTTCCTTTCTTCCTTCTTTTTAGCCAAAATGGAATTGCGTCATTCATAATACTCTGCAGTTGAATTTTATAACCTGAAACTATCACGGACATTTCTCTAGGTCAGCATATGGAAAGATCATGTTAAACTTCACGGATCCATAATTTCAGTTACTATGTGATGTCAGCTACTTGTCATTTCTTTATCTGTGGATACTCGAGTTGTCTCCTGTTTTTGGTGCCGGTGTCGGTTTTGGTTGTGCTGCTGCAGATGGTGTGATGGTAAGGTCTTTGTGCAAACAGCTGCAGCTCTCTGAACCGGCCCCTGCTGAGCCGTCAAGCCAGTTAAGCATGGTTCTCCCTCATGGCTGCAAAGCACACTGCCTGCCGCCCACAGTGCAGATCCCTGCTAGAAGCTTCCGCATTTCACGCCTGCACCATTTCTGCTCCAAGAAGCTGGGCTGTAAGCTTTCCAAGGGACGGTTGTAGCTATTCCTAACTAGCTTATGCCAGTGATATTTGTTGTAATTACATATTCTAGTAATGTGTAAACCCATGAAATGAGAGTGCAGAAAGCTAATTGTTTCTGTTATAACAGTCGAGTGCTTTTGAAAGATTCAGTGAAACGGTGCTGTTGAATGTACTGCTGTCCATTTAGATGCAAGTGAGACAACTATGGGGGTTGTAATAAATGCTGATAAAAGTCTGGAGGAGGCGGGCGCAGTGGCTCACGCCTGTAATCCCAGCACTTTCGGAGGCCGAGGCAGGCGGATCACCTGAGGTCAGGAGTTCAAGACCAGCCTGGTCAACATGGTGAAACCCAGTCTCTACTAAAAATACAAAAATTAGCCGGGCATAGTAGCATATGCTGGTAGTCCCAGCTACTTGGGAGGCTGAGGCAGGAAAATGGCTTGAACCTGGGAGGCAGAAGTTGCCGTGAGCTGAGACTGTGCCATTGCACTCCAGCCTGGGTGACAGAGTGAGATTCCTTCTCAAAAAAATAAATACATAAATCTAGAGGGAGTCCACTCGCACATTGCTTGACAAGTGCCTTTCTGCTGTAGCCCCACTTTAAAAACACAGAAAAGGGTTGTTAGATCTATGTCTTATGGATGCAGCTTGTGTAAGAAAGACCACAGGGCACTCTACACAGCAGACTGACTCTCAGAAGAGGCTTTACCTGGGCAGAGAAAGGTCCATCCATGTAGGTACAGTCAGCCCCCCTTCAGCCAACCGTAGATCAACACTATTCAAGGAAAAAACACAACAAAAATAACAGAACAACAACAAAAATATAAATAAAAAACAATGCACCATAACAGCTATTTCCATAGCATTTACGTTGTATTAGGAGTTAGAAATATTCGAGAAATGATTCAGAGTATACAGGACGATGTGTGTAGGTTATGTGCAAATAAGACACCATTTTATATAAGAGACTTCACTCTTCACCGATTTTAGTACTCTGTGGTAGGAGAGGTTCTGGAAGCAATTCCCTGTGGATTCAGAGGGACACTGTATACATGGTTTTTCTTTGCCAGGGATTGGTGAGATGGGGAATTGGGTAACAGCTGTCTTAACATACAATTCACGTGTCATACAATTCCCCCATTTAAAATTCAGCGGTTTTCCCAGCACTTTGGGAGGCTGAGGCGGGCAGATCACCAGGTGAAGAGATCGAGACCATCCTCGCCAACATGGTGAAACCTCATCTCTACTAAAAATACAAAAATTAGCTGGGCGTGGTAACCTGCACCTGTAATCCCAGCTACTTGGGAGGCCGAAGCAGGAGCATTGCTTGAACCTGGGAGGCGGAGGTTGCAATGAGCCGAGATCACACCACTGCACTCCAGCCTGGGCAACAGAGCAAGACTCCAT